CATAACTTGCGAAACGCATCATATTTTAACAATTTCAATGTGTTATCGTTTTCAAGACCTGCAATAAAATCACGATGGACTGGCTTGTAACTTGTTTCAGCTGGCAAAAGTGTAAGCGATCGAGTAATTCGGTTACCAGCACTTTTGTAGTCCATAAATTTCAGCATAGTTTTTTACGATTACAGCTCCATTGTTATTTTGGTTCTCCATCGCGACAGTCGTTTTACGTTACCGTGAATGCGCGACACAATACCATTCGTTGCCAGATAATTTCTGACGAGTGCGGCCAATTCCTAACATATTAAGATACGTTTTCTGGCAAAGAGGCGTATTTTGATCTCAATAATAAAAAGTTCTTTTATTAGTACTAATACCTGCTAAGTACATCAAGAATACTGGAAATCGGGATTGGGTAATTACGGGGCTATCCATGAGTTTAACTTCTTGATAAATTCTACATAATTGGCGGTTGATTGCATCACCTTTAAGTTCAGCAGAGGTACTTGGAAGTTAACATAAGACTGCATCTGTTCCTCGTTTATTTCTGAATACCCGACCTGCTAGTTCGTGGAAACGGTCTCTCCTCTCAGCCTCATCTGTAAAAATAGAGCACATCTCATATGAAAGGCTCTGAACAAATACATCATCCTCTTCAACCAACTCAATGCTACCATTAGAGAATGTTACCAACTTGCTTGTTGTGAACGACTGCATTTATTTGATAGCTATACAAAACAGTGCTCCGAAATTAGGTTTCAAATGCCTAAGCATCAAAACAATTTTATTGATTAAAAAATTTTAAACTGTAACGTTTATTCTGCATCGTCTGCTCTATCGTTCTTACGGATTAGTTTTCTCTACACCCTCTAATACAAAAGCCTTGGGATTTTGAAAGTTGGATAATTTATTTCGACCTACAGTAAAACCTCCATAAATGCAACCTCCATAAGTGCAATCCCTCTCTAAATGCAACATTTTGTTCGGTCCCAAGCTTGGGACTTAGTGAATAAATGCAACCCTCCCTTTTCTGCAATGCAACGGATTTGCGAGTCCCGTTCTAGTAGATTTATTTCTCTAAGTGCAATTCACGTGATTCACGTAATGATCAACACAATGTAGCTGTAGCACAGATTTGTTACAATATCAAACATCACTATTCGGCATTATTTGTTACAGATTGAGTTGAGTTTTATGTGAAGAATTGCTATTTTCTTTTTTCAGTGTTTGACTTCATCCTGTTTACAATAACTTTGAAACAGAAAGATTTTAATTGATTATTACGGGTAAATTTAATGAAACAAAGCAGTATTACCCAATTCTTAGCTAACAATTAGGGATCGATTTTTTATGTAACTTTAGCTGCAATTATAATAAAGGAAAATCTGTTTAATAGACGCGAATCGTTAAAATATCCTTTCCCAATAAGGAAACCTCCATAATAATAAATGCAACGTAGCACTCGGTCCCAAGACGTTGCATTTATGGAGGTTTACTGTATATGGAATATATTCGAGCATCACGTGGAAGGACGATATCACGAAGCATGAGGGTCCTAACAAATTTAAGGTTACCAAGCTAGTAGTGGGTAATAGTAATGGATTTTATTTATTTAACCAGTTTTATACTGCATCAGTACATATGTAATTTAAGCCTCCAAAGTCTAAGAGGTTGGCATTATTAACCACTCGTGTCTTAACACTTCATCTGCAGTCGGTCGTTTATTAGAATTTCGTGCATCAGCTTATCCCGAAACTGTTGAGTGGATGGAAATATGTGGATATGATCACAAATTCTAGAATCATTCAAAAGGTTTCCAACCATCCAGATATCTCCTGCAGTGTTGCAAAAATCTTGTCCATATCTAATTTTTCTCTAACATCTTTTTCTTCACCCATCATTACAAGCAACCCATTACAATAGATAGTGACATCTGGTCGAACTCTCTTTTGCTTTGTGGTAATACTTGTATCATTGATGATTTTGTTATGAGTCCAGTTTAATTATAGACTTCCAATATAGTCACCAGCAAATGAAATCATGCCCAAAATGTGATCATTAATACCATCTGCAGTTAACTCGCCTGACTGCTTCCACAAAAGACTTACCCATGATGTTACTAACAATTGTACTCAATCGAGGAACATTATAAAATGGTTCTGAATTTGTAGGTTCAAGATAATCAGGATAGTCTCTACAATAGTAGGGATGAGCTGGTAGTTTCTGGAGCAATGATGCCATAAGACACTGTTCAACATTATCACATCTGATTGGTTCATCGAAAGGACAACAGAGACCACATAAAAATAATCCGGTATTATCAGGAATGTCAAATCTTGCTCGTATTGTGAGGAGTTCTATAATATTATAATAACGAGTATAGAAGAAAAAAACAGTACAGCACAATATAGTTAAAGCATACAAACATTGTTATTGATTACAATCAATCCAGCTACTGTGACATTCTCCAATGAATTTGTGATATGAGAAGATGTCTTTGTGTACCGCATCTAATTTTGGATTTTCGATATTTTTTTGTGTGGCACAATATAGTAGAACAAAACTGATTATTACGTGTCATTTTGCGTTTTGCGAAAAAAACACTTCCCCAAACTATTATGAAGACTGTCGAGGCAGCCGACTATCTACAAAGTACCCCCACTGACAGTTTTGTTAATTGGTGCGGTTCGTGTGAAAAACTCAGAAGGGACAAAATGAAGATTCTTGAAAACGACTTGAGGAGACAAGTTGATTAAGGAGGACATATGACAAAAGGCAAAAGATCTTCACAAGGGATTTCAGGTGATGTATTATATATGAATAACAAATATCTGGGATAGGATTGTATGCATCATGAAGCGACTGTTCGTTGTTTCTGTTGCTACAAATCTGAAGAGGTAATGGAGATAAGGACTGGGCCAGGGGACTGTTCGTCAACTGGAAGATCGACTGTTCGTCTGTCCTTCTCTTCAGCCTCCTGTGAAACACCCGGGACTGTTCGTTACCGTGTGTTGGACTGTTCGTTCGCCATGGCCCTTTATGCTCTTTAAAGTATTGAGAGTTTGGTTTTGTTTATATTATTGGCCAAATTTAACCATTACTTTCACGTAGCCTCACATAAAACAGCCAGATATTTTGAACAGCTTGAGATTCGATACCAGACGGAACGGAAGTTGCAATCGATCGAAAATGAGAAAGCCATTAAGTTGGCCGAGATAGAACATATTAAGGTATCCACTTTTCACGTAACATACGACTTTCTTTCTAATACGCTACATGTATATATGTTACATGTTTCTCAATTACGGAATAATACAGAAGATTCATCAGTGCGTTTCTGATAGCTTTATGGAATTTAGTAATGAAACGATAAGAATACCAAAACGCACATTAGAATCTGATTGTGAAAGTAATTCTGGTAAAAAACAGAAACCTGTGAGTATCTTTGCTGTGAATGTATGGCTAGATATTTAAGATTTCTAATCTGTTCTTATTCATTAAAGTCATCATTGAATAATCCTGAAGAGCTTCTCCTTTTATTTCTGGGAATGATAATACACCACCCACTCTATACAATAATATATTTAATATCAAAACCCATAAGAATGCTTTGGGTGATTTAAAAGAACTTGGTACAGAAATTGGTACAACCCAAGAGATCAGAAACCTTACTGGGGTAATTATAATTTGAAATTTACTACTTTCTAAGTATAATAACTGGGCTCACTCCATCTTAATAATTTTCTAGGATGAGGTGCATATTTGTAACAAATTACTAGATGTCTTGCTTGTACAGAAAAAAAATTTTATGTCATCAATACTTAACAACATCATAGATCTTACCGATAAAGATAATCAACTTGAATGGCTCAGAGGAGTTCTTCAAAAACAGATTTGGGATCAGAGCAATGAATTCAAGCATTATACAGTCAGACCTCCATAAAAGAACCCTTCATAAAGGAACAACCTCTAATGAAGAACATTTTATCATGGGATGGATCTAACCTTATTAGTAAAATTTCCTTTATAAAAGAACATTTTATGAAGGAACTAGAACATAATTTTGTTGAATGTTTATATTTGCTTATATTTACATTTACTATTACCTCTGGCTGGGAAATCTTTATTATTAAGAATTGGAAGAATCCCCATCATCCTTAGTTACAATTACTGAAGCATATGAGCATTGAAAAAAGTCAGTTAGATTTAAAGAGCAATTGACAGATGAAAATTTTGGTATAGAAAAAAAATAGAAGACTATATAATTATGAGAAATTTCAAAAAACAAAAACAAAACAAGTAATATTAATATTTGTAGCAATAGTAATAGTAGTATTTGATTGATAAATACTACTAATTTTTGCTATATAATTTCGAGTAAATTCTATAAGAGAACACCTCTATTAATATGTGAGTTTGGCATCAATCTTTCCAACTTTCACATGTACAGTTGATCATTGAGGTCACTGATGTCAAGATCTTGTTGATTTCTCAATTGATCATAAAACTTCTCTAAATCTGAAAGTGCAATCTTGAGTGCCTTAAACAAGCATGATGTTTCCAATAGCATGTGTTCATTATGGGGTAGAACAAATAAAGGCATCACAGGCACAAGAGGTTCGCATACAGGCTTCTCTAGAAATGCAGCTCCAGCTATGCCCAGATAGGACCCTGGAATAAATAAAATCGTTGGGAAAAAAAAATGAATATGCAATCATTAGTGTTAAATAACACAAGTGCTTAAGAAAAACTGAGAATGCATATGTACCTGCAAGGTAAATCAGAAATACTGGAAACTGAGATTTTTCAACTGCACAACTTTTACGTAATTTCTTCATAAATTCGACATAGTAGGCAGTTGCCTCCAAATATGCACACCCACTCCTGAGTCCAAATTCTGGCTTCACCTCCAGAATCAGCAAAGGTGCTTTGAAGGTTTCCTTGGTAAACATTATACAGCCATCTGTGGTTCAACAGTTACCAAAATTATAGGTGACAAATGTCCTCTTGAGATACAAAGCTGCTAAGTCATGAAAGCAATCCCTTCTCTCATCCTCAATCTTGAACCTCAAAGAACACATATGTTGCAAACAAATTCAAGGTCATCTTCAATGAGTTCGATGCCACCTTCAACATCATCCTGAAACTTAGCCAGGATGGGATCACAGAGTGCAATAGGCATGCCAGCAGCATAGGCTGGATGGCAGTTCAGAATGTTAGGGTCTTTGCTTGGGTTGCCTTCACCTTGGAAAGCCTTGAATTTTTTGGGAACTGACAGCAAGAACAGAGCTGGGAAGCTATTGAGCCCAGCACAGTATGCATCTCTTGCTCTTGCCTTTCTTTTTTTACCATGGGTGGGGGCTGATTGTGGTAAATAAGCACAAGTTAGACAATTGCACTAACAAGTTTTTTATGCTCTATTCTACCCATATTAATATTACTACTCTGCTATGACTCTGCTCTGCCCTAACTAATAATGCCCCCAACTGTCTCTCTTGCAATAGCACACATTCAATAATTGAAATAATAAATTTATGTTATGAAAAATTTGAATTATTTTGACTCTGATTGCAATTGTGTCAAAAAGCAAAATGTGAATTCAAATCTCAACACATACACTTAGACAGTCTTTTATCAAGACTATAAGAAACGATTTTGTTGCTAGTACTAGGTCGTTCAATCAGTGGAGAAAGTTTTTATGTTAAATCTAATTTTTGTTTCTTCCTTGGTTTATCATAAGTTGGTGGTAGTGCTTGTTTACTGCTTTGTATTTTTCGTTCCTCTTGATAAATTTCATAAGTAATTTTTTCTTGATCTAGATATTGCTGGAGAGTGGGTATTATTGATTTTAAAAATATATGGAGCAATTTGTTCTCTCTTTAAAATACTTCTAATAGTGCTATAATTCTTGGGTTCCATAGTGGATTTAACGTAAATTAGTTTCATATTATTTTTTTTTATAGAGATACAATAATCCTATATTAAATCTGTTATTATTATGGTTTATATTCATCACATTCTAGTATGATAAAGTGAAAGTCCATAAGTTATGAATGGGCACCATTATTATTATTACTTTTCAAAACATCACAAGTCATGCTGATAAATTTTACAGCCACATCATAGTCAGCCCCTCAATTATTATTATAGAATGTTCACTTTGTCTGGTTTTGTTGCAGTATGCCCCATTTATTATTATTATTTGAATGAATGCATTTCATTGTCTTTTGTACCATATAAGGCACTCAATCTATCCATAACCGTTGTGGCGTTGATGACACAGACACCCTAAAACTTGTGTGGCGTTCTGTTGATGTCCCATTGCGTTGCTCCCTTTACCAACAGGTATTAGTATGAAACAAAAGCCAAGTCAACAAGATGGTAAGCTATACACTACTGACAAATAAATTGATATTAACTGTTGAAACAAGTATAACGGTTTTCTTTGAATATCGTTACGATCGCTGATTCTAATTAAAAAAAAAAATAAACCAACGTTTGGCTTTTCAGAACTCAATTCTACACTTTCTTTTAGAAGACCAATGACTACACGTTTTCGCACTCCTCTGACTAATGCGTTGCCAATCCCTCAACCAACTTCGAGAAGCAATGGCAAACCTAAACTCTCCTACTATACCGGTCCTCGTTCACGAGATCTTGACAATTCTTTTCAATCGCACTCCGACTCAGTTTCACGATCTCGCTACGAAACACTGTTGTCTGATGGAGCCGGGACATCCGCAGCAGCGTTTGCGGGCAACAGACACAATAGTAATATGGTAACTTCAACGGATTCTCAGGTAATAAGATGTGAAGAACTGTCTCCTACAATGCAGAATATTGTGAACGAGTTTTTCAGGCAACAAAAACGCAAGTCTCTTGCAAAGTTACGAAGAAATAGCATGGGTAAAAAGCGACAGGGATCACCTAATGTTCTTGGGCAGTTCTCTTTTCAATCAGATTGTGACCCCGCATATGGACTATTACAGACAGGAACTGTAACCGGGCCATATTCTGATCAACTAATGCAAGTGACGGCATATGGTCAACCATCGAATAATTACAACAGGGCTGAAATGATAATAGAAAATACAGGTCAAAACACATCTTCAAGGACTGTGGCGATGACGACGAACACTGGCCAGTATACATACTCACATACCGAAGTTATGCTAAGAAACGTGAGTCAAAATGCATCTAATAGCAATGAAGCGATGATAACGAACGCTGGCAAAAATGCATCTTCACATATTGAAGCCGTCATAAGAAACACAAGTCAAAATTCGTCTTCCAGCACTGAGGCAATGGCGATAGACACACACCAATCCGTGCCGAGTTCTGAGAGTTGTGCGCAGCGTTTACCAGAATTAGGAAATGCAATGTCTGAGAATACTCCGACACGATTTGCGAGTCAATCGCTTAGCGAACGTCTGCTTATTAAACAAGAAGATTTCGATGGCTCCGTAATACACTACGGAGTCAATTCTGATGATGCCTGCGCTTTCTCGAAAGCATCGGCGAGGACTGAAGAGAATAATGGACTTTACGCTGAGATCGATCCTGATCAGTCATTCCGGTTGTTGACAGCGCTAAAACTTTCCAAGAGAGGTATTGAAAGAGCGCAAGGCAAATTGCCGCAAAAATATAGGGACAGGTTGAGTAAAGTAAGAAAGTCGAAAATTGTCAGACCCCTTACAGTTGAGGTGAGACATTTAGCTGTTTGATTTGTTTTGCTTATTATATAACTCTAATTTTCTGTCTCCCTTAACATTGAATTAAACAGTCAGATGCATTTTAATGGAATGCTGTTGTATGCAGAACATTAATCGAGCAAGTGGAAGCTGGATGATACGTCTTATGTCTTGATATTTGGGTCGTGCGATAAGCGGTTTTATGTTACATATAAACGCGCTTTGGCCAAGATTCTCTAATTGAATTGTAAAGACAAAGCTCGTATTAAAATTATCTTAAATGGAAGTCTTTATTTGCAGGCATCATTTATTCAGTTAATGGTAGTGTGATAGACTATGTCATCATTGTTATTCATTATATATATTATATATATCTATATTTAAATACTATTTTTTCGAATTGGGATTATATGTAGAATATTTAATGACCTCATTTTAAGATCTGGTCGGTCTGTATTTATATTGACAGTAGATCATGTCGTTCATCATTGTGTTTGTTATCATTACATGACTCATCATAATTCGGATTTCATCGAGTCGTGGCATTTGTAAGATACTTTTATACATTTTATCTAGATTTATCATTACGCGCGGATAATTTAACTCACTTGATGGTTTTTAATAAATATTAATAACAAGCATATTTATCGTATTGTAAAAAACCAACAGATTTATTACTGACCATTTCGGTGTACATTCTTCTTTACCGGCAGACCGAGCTACTTGCGGGGGATTGCTTTCCGCAATCTTCATTTTCATCATTTCTATTAATCAGGCTGACTAATACGTTTCTCTATTTCTATTAAAACTATCCAATAATATTAATGTTTCCTTTGAATGTATGTCTAAATGCCAATGTGATACACTTCAGTTATTAGACCCTCATAAATCGTGTCATAATTCTTGATTTAAGCATCAGGTTTTCTGTTCCAGTGAATTAGTCAAGTAGGACCGACTCTTTATTCCTGAGAAGGGGTGTCACGTATTAGTTTTATCGTCAATTGGCTATAGTAACTTGGTAGTGCCGTTAACCGTGACTTTGGAATCAGACGAGCAGTCAGTTATTGAACAAAGGGTGCTGACATGGTATTGATATGCATGCATAATGTAAACAGAAACTTTCAACTTCATTGGTTGAGACAACTGATTTCTGTGAATGACGATTACTAAGAATCGATTGCCCAGAGAATATTACGATTCAAACTTTAATATAGGCAATGAGAATCGTTGTGCAACGATAAGCGATGATCACTATTATTAATTGTTCTCGCAAAAAACAGCTTTGACCCAAATTTTGAATTTGATGTTACAAAATTCGTCTCTGCTAACTTGTAATAAGAACTCCAAAATTGTATAAAACTCCATTTAAAACTAATTGAATTAGAATAGTAATAATAGTCCATGAAGAACAAAACCGACTTTTTCTTAATTGGAATATACATGGTTTGTTTTATAAATTTCACGAGACTGGGGCATGTCAAGTTTTACTATATATGTAGTCTGCTCACTTGTGCAAAAGAATTCTGTCTTTTACCAGAAATTGACACTAGTCTCTGACAGATTTTATTCATACTTTGAGTATAACGGGGATGGTTGCAGCCCTAAAGAAGAATAAATAAAATGAAATTACCCGTCTTATCGTTTGTACTAAAGCTGTCAACAGCTTATCCCGTTTTTCACGTAATTACCGAATTTGGTTCTTGAGCACACTTATATGGTGAATGCAAAGAATATCACTTACTAAAGTAGAGTATATAGTATGCAAGTTTTCTAATAATAGGTATTTACTTAAATATCTGTTCTATTTTTAACGTCCCTAATTTGAACAGCCTATGCTAATTAGGTGATGAAGAATGCAACTCAACATCAAGTGCCAGATATTTGTTCTGGAAGACAAGTTATGTAAATGAAAAGATTACATGCTCGCTATCAAATATCTTATGCGATGCAAATCTTGTTCGACCCTCATGTTTATTTCGAGATTATGTAGTTGATAGGAGGAAAGTCTGCTGTTTCACAGTAAAGCACTTAATGTTTGATGTTCCGTCGATGACATTTAGCTGACTCGAAATACTCCGAGACTAATAAATAAGTGTTGGTAATGGCCCAGAGTTCGGAAGATCTGACAGGTTAATCGCAGATCTCCCCCAACACTATTTTATTGTACGCAAAAAAAGGGTAGAGCCGTTTTTTGAAGTTAAGAATCATGTGATTAACTTGTGGCGTCCTTATTGGTGTATAATAACAAATGGTTTATACATATTAATGTAAAGCGATATGTTACCATCTGCTCTTTCACACGAACAGCGACGATAAAATTCTTAAATGACCGTTAAAGAATCAACCTGTATCAAACATGTACAATAACGGAACGAGAGTAAATAAGCTCATTAATTAACTCAGCACACACTTTATCTATTTCGGTGTACAATAATCGTTTGTACCCGTCTGTCAGGAATCATAAAGAAGCCGATTCGTTAGAATTGTGAGCAAGTGTTCGGTTATCTGTCCAATTTGGGAGAATGAATCCTTAAGATATAAGTGCTACACTTAGTCCTCTTGTTAGCCCTCTCACAGGTATACATTAAAATATCAAATTTGGTAGTCATTTAACTCAACAATGAAATGTCCAATCGTATCATATGACTGTTATGTATTAATGCATTCGTTCACCCATAGAACGGAATATACAGTATCACTCCTTGGCTACATTCTCTATAGCCCACGCAACTCGTCTATCACGCATAGCACTGCGAGCCATACGTCTGGCTTAATTTCATACACAAAATTATCCACTTTCATTAATTTATATATAGCTTGTTCGTATGGCTTCAATCACTTTGAACGGATACGCAAAACATACCGACGACGACTATCTCATCATAAAACCCAACAGAGTAATAATGTCCCATGTTGACTCAGCTGTGGACATTTTATCAGAAGTAGAAACTACCAACGAACATAATAAATCAAAGCCAACTCTAACATTATCGCCCGGACCTTCAATAAAAGGACCAACTTCCCCCACTACACCTAGCTCGTCACAACATGCTGCCGCCCTTGCCCTGTTAACATCTCGAATATCTGCTTTACAGTCAGAATTGGAGAATGCTGGTAAGGGAAGGGAAGATAACAAAAAGCCAAGCTCAGACTTGGCATTGGAACCGAATAAGTTTTCCTTGAAAAAAGAGGAAAAAACTTCACCCATTGTCGATAACTTCAAAATTAAATATAGCATGGAAACAGACACAACGAAAGCCGATCGTTCGTCAAGAGGTCATTCTGACTACTATTCAGACTCGAACGCAACCCCAAGAACCTCAGACAAGCCCACAATAAAAGATTTCCCACCTATTTCACCTTCTGACACTGTATTCGACTCCGAGAGGCTCTCAAGAAATACCTCCGCCATCAATTCCATGTACTCCATCCGTTCCGCTCATTCTCGAGCTCCTTCAAATGAAACGAGCAAGAATGACTTCATACAATCGCCGACATTTCAATTGTCTAGTCATCGGGGTCGCCGGAACAGTGATAACGATGATTTATCTGGTGACGAACGAAGTGCTGAACTAGAACGATTAGAACGTGAACACAGGAAGTATATACAGGTGCTGAAGAAAGAACACAAAGAAGACCTTGAACGAATTGAAAATGAGCATAGCATGGAAATAGAAAGGACATTACGAGAGCATCGAGATGAGCTTGAGAGAACTGAAAATGAATCAATGAATACTCTGGAAAGGACAATAAATGATCACAGAGATGAAATGGAACAAGTGAAAAAAGAACTTGCGGAAAAATTCAAAGAACAAGAAGAGCGAATAACGATAGAGACAGCTCGACGACGCGGAGCCGAAAAGGATGAGCTGATCAGAGCGCACGACGAAGAGTTGAACAGAATAAAATCTGAATTAGAACGAATATCGAGCTTAAAAGAGCTAGCAGAGCAGGAAAACGAAACATTAAAACGGCGTCTCTCTGAAGATCAACAAGCGTTGCGTGCCCAATTGGATAATCAATCGTCTATAGAAGATCTAAAACATAACTACGAGCAAGAACGACGTGCCCTCGAAGATCAGCTAATGAGCGTCATTCAACAAAAAGAAGAGGCCGAAGTATCATTGTCAAAATACAAGCGAGAGACTGAGAATGTATTAAACGAATTTAAAAGCCAACTGGAAGCGGTTACCATTGTTTCAAACGAAAAAGACGCTCTTGAAGCCGAAAATCACAGACTGCAGCAGGAGGTTGGAAATCTTAACGCGTTCAAAGAGAATGCAGAGGATGTTCTGGTGAAGATAAAGGAGGAAATGGGTAAGAGCATATCTGAACTCAAATCCCAACTTAGCGAAAAAGCCGATACAGAAAGTATGCTTGAATCTCTTCAGATTGAACTCGATAACTCTAACAATGCACTTTCCGAGTTACAATCCCACCAAGTTCAAAACGAGCGTAAACTACGTCACGCTCAAGAAAAATGTGAGGACCTTCAAATCGACGTAGCAAACAAAAAGAGCGCTGTAGAGAATCTCGAGAGACAACTGGACCGTATAAAGAACGAGATAGAAGGGACAAAAAGAGAACACGAAAGATCCATGGACATTCTCCGATCTGAGCTTGATATTGCTCATCGAAAGGATCTTAATAATCTTAGAGAGAAATTAGAGAGCGAGTATGAATCGGCACGGGCAAAATTAACGTTTGAGCACGATAACGCAATAATGACACTAAAACGGCAAAATGAGGAATTGGGCAGAACTATTGCTGAGAATGTTGTTTCTGTTGAAGCATTGGAGGCGGCTGCAAAGCGTCTAGAAGCAGCCGAGAACTCATACCAGGAACTTAACTCCAAGTACCACAAATCCACAAAGAAGAGCCAAGATCTTACGACCGAAGTCGCATCACTTCGTAGCAAAGTTGAAGAACTCGAATCGACTAAAGATATATTGGAAGAAGATAAAAAGATGAAGGATGAAGAAATTGAAATAATGAAAAACAAACTCAGCCAACTCCATGAAGAAAACCTCGCTCTCAGAGCAGATATCAAAGAGGTTGAGGCTACTCGCAATCAATTTGCCGGCGTCATTGCTGCAATGAAGGATGAATGGGAAAATTCATACCAGTTACTCAAGAATCAATTTTCAGAAGCTGAACAGCAAAGAGATAAATTACAAGCTCGAGTCTCTGAATTAGAGCACAGCTCAAGTAGCGAAGTTGAACAGCTCAAATCAAGCCTATCAGAAAAAGTCAGGGAAATCGAACAGGTAACCGCGAAGTTTCAAGCAGCCGAGAAACAAAAGGATATCTTGTCCAAGATGCTCGAGGAACATCAGAACGGGATGCAGACAATTATGAAAGATATGGCAGTCGACAGAGAACAATGGACTGAAAAGGAAAATGAAATGGCTCTTTCATTAAAGGAAAAAGATAGGATCCTTTCTGAGAAGCTTAGTTTATTGGAAGCTGCACGAACGGATAAGGAAGCCATGAAGCAGAAATTAATCGAGGTCGGGAAAGAAAAAATGTCAGTTGATAATATGATCCGTGAACTAGAAGGAGAAAAGAAACAAATGGAGGAGAATATGAAGAAGCTTGAATCTCGCTTAACTGACAAGACGAGGGAATATGATCGTCTAAAGGAACAGAGCACACAATGGCGTGAAGCAGACAAGCAAAAAAGGCAATTGGAGCAAGAAATTCATGAGGCGAAACAAGGTTGCGGTGAAAAGGATCTGCAGATTAATCATCTAGCAACAGAAATGGAAAAGAAAGATGCAGAGATTCAACAACTGAATACCCTCAAGAAGCAGTTACAGGCCAAGATCGAAGGCCTCGAAGCATCTCAGACCCGATTCAACTCGAAACTTCGAGCAGCCGAAGCTGATGCAAGCACAGCTATGCGTAATGCCGATAATCAAGTACGCGAGATGCAAAACCGGCTTAACAATTCTGAAAATGAAATAGAAGAACTCCACAGTAAAATCACCGAACTCAAGCAAAAACTTATTGAGAAAGAAGGTTTCCGGACCCCACCAAGATCCCCCCATTCAAGAGAAGATGTCAATGTCCGATTATCGACAGCCACGCAGACGATCATGTCTCTCGAGAAACAAGTCGAAAAGTTAAAGACTATCCAGGATATGCTCAATTCCGAAAATGCTGCACTCAAGAAGAGTTTGTCTGAATCCGAGACCTCACAGCATGCAATTATGCAAACCTTTGAACAGTCAATTAGTCAGACTGAGAAAACCGTATCTATTCTTCGCGAGCGACTTGATACAACACAAAAAGAGTGCGCCCTTGAGAAGGACAAACTTACCCAAAGCCATAAAGAGCTTACAGAGAGTTTGCAACGAAGGTACTCGGAACAGATTGCTGAATTAAAAAATACATTGCAATCGTACGAGAAGCGAGATCGTGACCTGTCTGCGACTGTTCACGATGCTCGGGATAGTGCAGATGTCAAGATTCTAAGGCTACAGAGTCAGCTAACTTCGTTTGAGAAAGAGCTGAAAGAATCTAAAAACGAATGTATGAAATTGAATGAGGCATTGTCTCAGGTGCAAATGAGTTATTTGGATGCCGTTAATGAAAAGGATCAAATACTAAAGATAAAGAAGGAATTAGAGAAAAAGCTCAAGTCTCAGGAAGACGATTTGCAACAGGTAAATATTGGTCAATTTACACAAGTTTAATTAAATTGCGATTTCCCCCGATTACTAATTTAATTTCTTTCTCGATATTTGTAGTTGGTGGCCAAGAATATGGATTTAGTCATGCAAATCAGCATGAATTAATTTCGCTGCTTTCCTTAATAATTGTACTATTTAATAATCGTATGAGAAAGGTCGTTTTAGTCGGTGTATTAAATAATTTTCATCATCAACCAGTCATTTGTTGTACTTGTACAAAATCACTTGTAATTTGAATAGAACTCACGAAATAAAGGACTAATAGCCAACAATAGCTCGAATGAGAAATAATCAAAGTACTGTAGCCTTGAACTGGTTCTGCGAAAGTCAAGCGGGTATAGAGATTGTTTAGGGTGTGAAGAAGAGTCTATCAAAACTGAGGCTCTACGCTTTGTCAGTTTAACTGGTCAATCAGTAGTTGAACTTCAATCAAAAGAGTCAGAACGATGAGTATCGGCTTAAATAGTGTCCTGCCAAGCGAGTAGAAACCACCATAACCTGATGGCATGCTCAAGTTCGACGATCAATCGCCAAGGCTAACTGTTAATTGGGATCGGGTGATTAGCAATATTCCAGACAAACATCTCTCTTGATCCGTGTCTGGGCATGAGGTGTCTACTCAATACATATTCCTAACTGCAGAGATCTCTAGTCATAATTCGACGGAGCCTGAAGATGTAGGATTATTTAGACTTTCGTGGCATGCAAATATGGTACACCTATATTGCTATCAGACAAGCGAAACACCAGTTAAAGCACAGTGTCTGCTGGTCTGCTGACCTTTTACAAATCAAGGACTTCCTCCGTAGGGGATAAGGTGGCGTGCTCGCAATCCTTCTTCCACCCGCTCTCTAAATAGCCGCTGATGAAAAGAGAGCATTCCCTACCCCCATTTTTTTGTATAAACCATAGATTTAATATGCATTTCATTTATTATGTAATGTGTTGCCGGTACCCTTATGGGTATCAGGTAAACCTTATTAGAAGGCGCATGTCTAATGAAGGACCACAAAACTCTAATAATTGTCTTAACCAAAGAGATCCAAGCCCATATCTTCATCAGACTCTTCCTCCTCCTCTTCTTTAGCAGCTTCAGCCGCGGGTTTTTCTTCAGCCGCTGCTGTTGGAGCGGCCGCGACCGCAAAGGCTGACGGGTCGGCGAGATAAGCCTTAAGCTATTACAAAAGCGGATCAACAAAAAAAAAATCGTTAGTTTACGAAAACGTCACCAATTATTTGCCAAATAACATATTTTCCACCAATCTAGATTTCTTAACTAGCATCAGCAAAAAATTAGAGCGTAGATTTTTAGACAATCATGCGGTTCTAAACCTCAAGCAACTAAATCATCATTAACTAGTCATAATTCAATGGCCCGAAAAAGGTAGAATTATTTATCATCCGCTGAATTACCTGCTCGACCGCAGGGAATGTGTAATCTGTGCTTATAGCAACGGCCAAAAGCTTCTTGTAACCGTTGATTAACGAATGTGGCACTGATGCCAAAGTAGGATACCCAATTCTCAAGGAAATGGCCGCTACTTGCTGAATTCCGCTCATCAAACGATCAATGAGCGTATTCTCTTCGATATCCAGGACCGAAGGTTGGAAAGTTGTACCACTATCGTAGATTTGGAGCACCGAAAGACCGTACGTGAAAGGAGATATGTTCAACATGTTGAGAAGAGTGGCTTCTGATGCACCGACTTTGGCACCAGATTTAAGCAAGTGAACATCGTTTATGATTTCGATTGTACCGCGAGCAATCTTTGTGGGCACGCCGAGCGCCTGGAAAAACGAAGTCTTACTAGGATCCATCCCAGTATTGCCTGCGGGAATAATTACATCGACTGGAGCGATGGCATTTGCTTTTGCTGGTGCTTTCATCTGGAAGAATGAATATCAGGTTACTGACCGTAAGAAAAAGTCATTGCAATCTCACAAAGATCTGAGATAACATTTTTACGGGTGTTAATATGTCTTACGCACTATTAACTCACCCTGTTTGAAAGAATGACATCTCTAGTCTGCTTTAAATCTTCGTTTGTGAAAACAAACCCTATATTTCCTTTCACATGTGGTAAAAGCTTATCGAACTGTGGATAATCATTTACGAGACCCCTAAGAGCGCGGCGAATCATCGTGTTCTTTCCCATAAGCACTACGGCCTTCCCGCGAAGTGCATGACGAATCTGGTGCATTTGGTTAGAGCCAACATTATCAACATTGACAATGAATATGGAGGAATAGTCTTCTAATAAACCCTTCAGTCGGTTAAAGTATTCTGCTTTTTTCGCGCGACTGTCTCCCTTTGACATCGTGATGTTTGTGTTCAAGGGGATCCTCTATATAGGAAACTTAAAGACAAGTCTGAGAAAAAAGCAGAAGATTGTTAGTATGATATTAGCTTGGTCCTAATAATGCTGTCTCCTAGTTGCCAAGCCATCTTCTATTAAATAAAAGTTGTATTTTCTCTTTCAAAGCATGTAATTACACATGGATGGATGCGCTCCCTCTATCCTACATACCGCTATGTGAGAATCGAGGAAGAGCTTATTATTTGTAAGGTATCATTATGTACGGGGAAATTTTTTTGATCATCCAATCATTTTTGGGATGTCATTAGACAGTCTACCGGGCAATTTATACCAAATAAAGAACAGCATTGAGTTACTTATTACTATGAAAAAGAATTTACCTGAAAGAAGATGTAAAATATATTCTTAAAAGTAATCCGCATTATTCAGGAACGTTTACTGTTTGGCGGGGAAGATCATTTGGATGCTCGATTTTATTTTCACTCAACCATGCGGAACTGCTGGGAACAAAAGGTACAAAAGCAACCATTCCTGGTTGAGGATTGTACCGGTTGTTCCAAACAGCAAGGTGATCGTAGGCAACTCTTTCTGTCCCATTTAATCAATATGGTATATACTTGAATAAAACTCGGAATAACCGCGAATTACAAGTTATTCATAACCAGTGGACGATTTAATATTGTAGATTGACTTTGTTTATATGAACAGAATCTTCGTAACCGCCAATAAATCCCAACTGCCTCTTTTACTCCTCCTTCTCGAGACGTGATAAGGGTTTTACATCATTATAATAGATAGTATTCCAGATAAGTTGCATATACGCCAAATGCTCTACAGGGGGGTATCAAAAGTATTGCACGGTCGAAATTTAACTAATTTAATAAAATTATTAATATGGAACTGCCCATGTGATTCTTATACCATATTTGCCTATATATTACTTAAATGGATTGTTGTTTATTGTTTTGATTTAATCTTTTACGGATCGTAAAAACGCGATTTAAAATTTTCTATCATTTTCAATTTTTCGCGCAATGGGTCTTGGTAAAGAATTAACTTTTGCACAAAAGGAAAGCATTATTGCAGCCAAAAAATTAGGCCACAATAATACAGAAATTGCAAAAGTTGTAGGATGTCATCGAACGACAATTACAAGATATCTTGCAGCTTACGAATCAGGAGAACCTTCCAAGAAACGATCAGGTCGACCATGCTTGATCGACAGTCAAAAAAGGCAAAGACCGATCCCGAAAAAAGTATATCGTGACTTGGTGCGATCAATGCCAAATAGAATTCAGGCTGTGATCGCTGCTAATGGAGGACATACAAAATACTAAAGTACTAATTCCGAATATAAAATAAAATTAATTGTTGTCTTAATAAAAATTTTTTTAACAACGTAATGTACGTGTATACAGTTGATACTTTCTGGCCATCTGAATCGAATTATACAAAATCATATACAGTAAGGTGCATAAGTAATTGACCCTTCCAAATTTGGTATAGAATGAGTAACTGCATTGACAATTTCCCTGCATATAATATATTGCAAACACTGATTACCTGTAAAATTTCAGTTCGATCGAATGTCTCTTGCAAATTTTTCAAACGCCAAATATTTTACCTCTGGATACAAGCGCGATTTCGGCCATAAAATTCAAAAATTTATATCTCCAACCAAATTTAGTACCTTTTTATTCTGTTTTTCCGCACCGTTAGAATGCATTCGTATATTTTTCTGTGTGATTGCTATTACAAAACGCAAATGCGTATAATATGACTATACTGATTTATATGCCATTCATTGTTGTAAATCGATAGAAACATGTGGAGATATGGATTTTTGAAGTTTATTCGAAATAAGCGACATATAGTTTTGATATGTTTCATGTGTTCTAGAGGTTTCGATCGAGCTGAAATTTTATTAAATGATCAGTGTTGTAGTAGTATATTATACACAGGGAAACGAAAACAATAGTGATTTGTAATCCTTGATTTTTGAAAATTAAATCATAAGTTACTGTCGGAAAAGCATTTAAATTATTTATTCCTAGGTTATAATTACTAGCGTGGTCAAAATTTTTCGGAGAAAACTGGGGATATGTGGTGCAGTTATGTTAATTAGTTCAAAAAAAAAGTCAAAAACTCTTTTTTTTTTAAAGTTACTTTACAACCAATCGGTGTTCCCTCCCGAAAACACTCAAGAAAGTAAAGTCTTACCTAAGAAAAAAATTTAAACTCTTGCCCTGAGTAATCTCTTTTTACTTTTCTTATTTGACAATTCAATGTCTTTTTAAAACAAATTTTAGTGACATTTGGTTTTTAATTCAGTTTAAAGCATTGACTCATTTCTATCCCAAATTGGGGGCGTATATTAAGAGGAAGGAATACTGTTATAGGGCAAATTTAATAACAGCTTTAAATAACGAATTACGATAATATTAATATTACTGGTTCGTCTACTTAGTGACGTAAATCAATATTTAGCAATAGCTATCGACAATTAGGTTTTAGAATAGCTAGTATGGGTAAAGCAGCTGAATCAATATATTTACAGTATGGAGGAGAAAAAATTGGAAAACTTGAAACTCTGTTAATATTACACAAATACAGTGTGGGACAAAAAAAAGGTGGAATTATATTTTAGTCTATTGTGTGATGGAAAAAAAAAAGCCAAATTGTCCAAAATTTATAATTATATCTTGTATAATATAGAGAACAAATTTGCTTAAGGACAGTTAATAGATTATCTTATTAAAATCTTTCTTAATTTATAAATTTAATCTT